TGTTCAGTGGTGGAGATCACACCGCGATAACATTGAAAGTAAAACATTAAATACAATTTTGCAATTGATGACTGCGGTAGCTTCATCTGCAGGAGTTGAACGTGTGTTCTCCTCTTACGGCTTGGTACATTCAAAACTGAGAAATAGATTGGGTACAGAAAAAGCTGCTAAGCTTGTGTTTCTATTCAAGGCAATTAATCAGCAGAAAATTATTCAATTTGATATTGATGATTAATTTTAATGCCGCACACAGGATAAAAATTTTTTAGTTTTAATTAATAATTATGTTTATTAATTTGTTTTGTACACTGTAGCATTACCTGTTTTATTTATTTTTATTGTATACTTTGAGTCATTATTTCTATAAATACATAGTTCTGTTACATTTAATTAGTTTTTTTTTTAAATATGACAAAAATAGTTTTTAAATAAATTTTTATTATTCAAAAATCAAACATAAAAGAAAAACTTGATTTAAATCATTAGTCATCCAAAAAAATCTTTTGATTTAAATCTTGATTTAAATCGATGTGATTTAAATCAGCCAACCCTGTATATATATATATATATATATATATATATATATATATATATATATATATATATATATATATATATATATATATATATATATATATATATATATATATATATATATATAATATATATATATATATATATATATATATATATATATATATAAATATATATATATATATATATATATATATATATATATATATATATATATATATATATATATATATATATATATATATATGTAAGATATGTTAGTGTATTTTAAAAATAGAGTACTATAACAAAGTAATAATAAATTAGCAAAAACACATTAATTTTGTCTTTGAAAGGCAGGCAGGAGTGTTTTTATTAATACATACATACATAATATATGTATGTAAGTATGTATGTATGTATGTATGTATGTATGTATGTATGTATGTATGTATGTATGTATGTATGTATGTAATATATGTATGGATGTAAAATAGGTATTTGTAGTTATTGTGGTTAAAGCGTAGTCAATGGAGAGACAAACAAATAAAAAACAAAAAAAATTTCTATATTCTATAAAAAAATGGTTTAAACACTCCATAACTAAATAATAATGTTTTGATTTATTTTGTTCATTGATTAATTCTCTTTCATATATATATATATATATATATATATATATATATATATATATATATATATATATATATATATATATATATATATATATATATATATATATATATATATATATATATATAAAAATTATGATAGTGTATTTTACAAATAGAGCGCTCAACGTTCTTAAAGAACAGAGCAATAATAATTTAGTAAAAACACTTGGCCTAACATACAATTTTTAATATATTTACTTTTTGTTTTTATTATATTCATTTCATATTTTAATACATTCGATTCGTGAATTTTAATACATTCGATTCGATTCGTGAGTCTCAGTTTGATCAAATCGAGGGGGCTGTTAATTTTACATGGTCATAACTTTTATGCACTATAATACAATTATATTAAATTCAAAAACTGAAGGTATATTTAGTATAAGATAGAGAAACTAAGCATTTTATTAAGTCATTGTCATCATGTTTTGGCAGAGGCAGTTAGCTTGTAGGGGAATTATTGTTCACAATTCATGAAATTTGTTGCAAAACATTTAGTTTTGACCTAGGTATGACCATAATTATATTTAGCTCAAAAAATACGTTTTTTAAATGTTTTTTGAAATTAGTTTTTTTTATTAAACATTAACTTCAAAATAAACTAAATTGGAAAACTAAAATGTTTTTTTTTTATTTTTTTAATATTATAAGTAAAATCTATATGCATTATGAAAACCCAAAAAAAGATCTAAACATTGATTTAGATATCAAAAAATAAAAAATAATGAAACATTTTATTTTAATTAAAAAAAAATTTGGATAAAAGTTAAGTATATATTTCAAATAATATATTAAAACAATAATTTTCAAAAGAAAAACCATAAAAAAAAGCATTTCAATATTTTGCAGAACCACCTTTCTCAAATAAGGATTGAAGAAGGCAATTATCTAAAATTTCAATGTTTCTATCAGCATTAAGTCAACCTTCAAATAATCAATAGCATTTAAGTCCTGCATAATTCATGTAGGCCCTAAAGTCTACACTGCCATTACCTTGCTTGATTGGTTTTCATGTACAATTCAAATCAAATTACTCTTGAGGTGATCGCCATAGCAAAACACGAAGCAATAACATATTCTTGCATATCTACCTCAACATTCATTTTGTCTGAGAATATAACATTTCACCACTTGCTGTCGTGTTTCATCAAGCAAATTAATAAACGTTTATCTCATTGTGTTAGCCACCAGATTATCCAGATCCATAATGTCATCTGTTTCAGTATAAGGTTTTCAAATATGTGCTACAACTGAATATCCAATATTTAACTTATTAGCTATTTGGCGAGGAGATAGTACTTGGTTTTAAATAAAAATAGATTTGTAACATGTTTTTTCAGAGAATCTCAACCATGATTTTGGAGTTTTATGCTGTATTACTTCACTTGTTATGAGGCTTTTTTAATATCTAATTAATTTGTGTTTTCATCAGTACTATTTCAAAATTAGAAATTTAGAGTTAATAAATGCTAATGAAAATCAAATTAAATTATAAAAAAAAATCATTAATATATTACGTTAATTTTAAAAATAAAGCAGTAAGCATTAATTTTTGACGAACAAAAAAAAATTTTAAAAAATATAATTGATGTTATAAAGTTACATATAATTAGGGATACAAATGAAATTTTATGGTTACAACTTGTCCATTAAATAAAAAACATGATACTTATTAATTAGAAATAATAAAATATTTAAAAAGCTAACTAGTTTTTAAAGTAATTTTAAGCAAACAGGATATATAAGTAAATATGGTCTAATTAATGGCCAATGGTGTATGTATTATATATATATATATATATATATATATATATATATATATATATATATATATATATATATATATATATATATATATATATATATATATATATATATATTTATATATATATATATATATATATATATATATATATATATATATATATACATATATATATATATATATATATATATATATACATATATATATATATATATATATATATATATATATATTATTTTAAAACGTCAAAAATACGATTTCTCTCAACACTTATAATTTTTTTATTATTATAGAAATTTTCGCTGGATTTTAGATACCAGCTTCTTCAGCTTGTTAAATGTTACAGTAATTAGTAAACCGTTATAATTTAAATTAACCCCTTTCTGCATACTGTATCATATATGATACAGTTTATAAATTGTGTATCTCTGGTCAAACGCTCAGGAATTTTAAATGGGAATTAAGTTTATTTAAAGCGTGCAATATTTAAGTGAGTGTGGCCACCGTACTTGGAATGTTTTTTGCAAATTTTACTTTCAATTTTATTTCTCATATTATCAAAATGGCATCCGGCAGCAAATCAATTAATTATTGTAAGTACATCATTTTGTTAAGAAAGATTCCTTTCAATCATAAACTCACAAAAATTCCCAAAGTTTCTTATACCTATTGGTAGTCCTTTTGCGTTTTTATTTACCTAATTTCTTAAACTTTCATTCCTCAACAACTCTTTTTGTAAGTGTATCAGAAATGATACATCATGCATCTAAAGCAAAAAATTTTAATTTCATATTTTTGATTTATTGTTATTTCTTTTGTTATAAAACGTTTTTATTATTTCTTCTAATCTTTACCAATCAAGCCAACTTCTTTCTATGGTAGAAAGCCTTCTGGTATCCAAAGGATACAAGCGCCTGTCTTGATCAAATTTGCTGATGACGACTCAGATCTATGCTCCTCAGGCGGAGATTCCAGCGATGAAGAAAATATAACTGATTGCGAACTATTTTTGCCAATACCTTCTTCTTCCAGTGAGGAAGTTGATAGCAGTGATGAAAATGCTGACAGCAATGAAAATCAGTTACTTTCAATATTAGGAAGAGCAAATGGCAGCGCGGGTAAAAAAGAAGGTGCAACAGTGGTGCAAGCTACCAATAAACCAAACGCAAATGGAAAAAAGCCTGCAAAAAAATCTCAGCTATTGTGGAAAGTTAAAAGTCTTCCAAATAAACAAGAAGACCACAAATTTAAAGGTAACTACCAACAAAAAATGGACGAGTTATTGGATTGTCTTGGTTCAGAACTGTCATACTTTTATCGGATTTTTCCAAAAGAGCTTTTTCAAGAAATTGCCTATCAGACAACGTTGTATTCCATGCAAACCAATCCTGAAAAACCAGTTGCTGTAAAAGAGGAAGATATAATTAGTTTTGTTGCATGCGTTTTGTATATGTCTGTTGTCAAACTCCCAAGCACAAGAGATTATTGGTCGTCTTCCATTGGAATTGCTCATGTAGCTAATATTATGCCCGTCAACCGCTTTGAAAAATTAAAAAGCATTATTCATTTTGCTGACAACAACTCTGCTGACAAAGACGATAAGCTTTTCAAGATACGCCCTCTCATAAACAAAATGAATGAACAGCTGAACAGTATTCCATTTGAAGAAAATTTGGCGGTTGATGAGCAGATTATTCCGTTCAAAGGGAGACATTTAATCAAACAATACAACCCTAAAAAACCACACAAATGGGGGTTTATAGTTTTTGTTCTGAGTGGTGTCTCTGGCTTCAGCTATAATTTTGAAGTTTACTGTGGAGGAAGTGACAACATTTGCTTTGAGAATGAACCAGACCTTGGGGCAAGTAGTAACGTTGTCATGCGCCTAGCCCGAATCCTGCCCGATGACACTAATCATAAATTGTATGTTGACAATTGGTTCAATAGCATTGGTTTAAATGTTTATATGTTCAAGAGGGGAATTCAAATGGTTGGAACTGCACGTAGTAACCGTGTTGGAAATTGCCCAGTCTTTTTCAGATAAGGAAATGAAGCAAAGGGGTCGCGGAGCATTTACAGAACATGTTGCCAAGGTTGACGGAGTTGATGTATCGGTAGTTTCCTGGTTTGAAAACAAAGTTGTAACTTTGATGTCCAATTTTATTGGAAGTGAACCTTCAATTGAGGTTAGAAGATTTTCAAGAAAAGATATGTGTCATATCAACATTTCCTGTCCGGGAGTAGTCACTATCTACAACAAGCACATGGGGGGAGTCGACTTGCTTGATTCTCTACTTGGCTATTACAGGAACAAGATTTGGTCAAAAAAGTGGTATCACAGGATCTTTTTCCACTTGATTGATATGTCCATAATCAATGCCTGGATTCTTTGGCAAAAGCGTAATCCGTCAACTCCACTTGTCAAATTCAAATTGGCGGTAGCAGATTTGTTGTCTAATTACCAGGTGTCGCGTAAACGAAAAGCAGGTCGCCCATCACTTGCTGACATCACACAACGTGTTGGCTCAAAAATTGCCATTACTCATGAAGCAATTCAGTCTGATCAAGTTGGACATTGGCCCATTTTCAATGAAAAGCGGCCTCGTTGCAAATATGACAAGTGCTCTGCATTAACATATTTATTTTGTGAAAAGTGTGACACTGCTCTGTGTCTTAATAAAGACCGCAACTGTTTTAAAGCTTTCCATCAATAGATTTTTTATATATAATGATATCTTTACTGAGTATATTTAACTACCAAGGTCATATTCCAAGATAAACTCTCTGTTTAGCAACAAACATTAGTTTATAATT